GTGAGTTCGAGACCAGCCTGGTCTACAGAGCTAGTTCCAGGACAGGCTCCGAAACCACAGAGAAACCCTGTCTCGAAAAACCAAAAAAAAAAAAAAAAAAAAGTGGTTTGATGACTGTCAAATATAATTTGATTGATAAGATACAAGCCTTAGAAAGACCTACTAATGAAAAAAAAATAAAAATATTCACAGACAGGAATTTAGAGTAGAACATACCACAATATTACATTATGAAATTGAAGAGGAGTGGCCTAAGGGTATTAGAATACCAACCTGAATATAACTGGATATATTGTACAAGAACCACCACCAGATGATAGGAACCCTCAAGGCTATGTAGAAGTTAATTGGAATCCTGTAGAAATGCTAGATTTGAAAAGATTTAAGGAAGCAGTCATTTCATAATATGCAAAATGGAATTCAGAAAATGTATTGCATTGGGGGAGAGGTGGTTTTTGTTTGCACAGGAAATGAAAGGCCGTGGAGTCCTTCAAGATTAACAGAGATCAGTTTGATCGGAGAGACCTCCTAAGTCTTGGCTGCAGACATAAGAAATAAAGCAAGAACTACAAGACAGGTGACATATACACTGTTCCCTCTGCATGGGAACGATTCTGAGACTGACAATGTTACAACTAGTTTTCCCAGGACTTCACCATTGTCTCAATTTTCTCAGGGTCTCCTGGAGATGGTACAGCCCTCAGAAAACAAAAAGCAGTCTAGAGAACACAAGGCCCACATTCCCAAGACATGGGGTGGGTGGTTTTTTATCATTTAATGGGTTATATATATTTATCATTATTTAGGGGGATATAGGAATACAAGATAAAAAGACAACTATTAACCTCAAATATTTATATTGGTATGGATTTTGATATATTGATATTTATTTAAAGTTCTTTTTGTTATACTGTATGTTTCTTTTGTTTATGGTATTGTGCTTTTGAAGCTCACTTAAAAATGGAATGTACAATTGAATGTAGGTTAGTAGCCATCTATAATAATCAAGCTTGTAGTCATGTTAGGCATGTTTTCAAGGTTAAACAGATATATTTTAGATCGATCTTTAAACACTTCAGAGACCTATAGAATATGGCCTTTTAGATGTTTGATAATCTAAGGCTTTTCATAACAGTGAGACATGTCTGTTCCTGGCACCAACTTATTTCATATAAGAATGATGGATAGAGATCAAAGAACCTCCATAGGGAGCTTGCTTGCATTGTGGCAAAGCTAGCCATCTGAGCAAGAAGCTGCTTGTCTTTTTTTTATTTTTTTATGGTTTATTTAATGTGCATTGGTGTGAAGGTGTCGGATCCCCTGCAACTGCATTTTCAGACAGTTGTGAGCTGCCATGTGGGTGCTGGGAATTGAACCCAGATCCTTTGGAAGAGCAGTCAGTGCTCTTAACCACTGAGCCATCTCTCCAGCCCAAGCTGCTCGTCTTAACTACTGACAATATGCTGTACAAACTGGACATGTAGGACACAGAGGAAAAAGACCACTGAATTTTGCCAAGACAAGATGGGATAGTCCTTCAAAATTCCTGCTTCATAAAGTCTGACAGATATTCTTAGCCTGTAGGCCAAAGATGGATGCCCCAATGTTGCAGAGGAATCTTGGGTAACTATCCAGGCAGCTAGATGTCTTTGTCATTTCTACAGTTTTGGAAGTTGCTTGCTCTGCACTTCCTGTTTACTCAGGTAATATATCTGACTCAGGTCTCTGATGGAGTTGAAGACTAGAGACTATATAGTTAATAGTTTTCTTTAGTTAATATAGAAGGTAAAGGCCTACCTTTAGTAGCAGCAACTGAACCACTGTGCGGGAACAGTACTCCTCAGGCTATGGCCTGAGCAGCCTTGCTGCTGGTAGTTTAAAGCACATTCACTCTGAGGTCAGACAGCAGGGTTCCACATGGTGCAGAGTAAAGCATGCCTTTGGGGAACTAGACACTCTGGCCCAGGTGCACTGTGCTGCTTGCTACTCAGAAGGGTTGGGTCCTATTCTGAGAGCTCTTACTCTAGGGTAGACAGTGCACACAAGTCTTCCAGAAAATGTCATGGATCTGTCTACCCTAAAGTATAGTCGGACTTTATTTGTTGGCTCCCCAATAATGACAGAGACTTTTACTAATTATGAAAGCTTAACTGATAGCTTACACTTGTTTCTGACAAGTTTTTTTTGTTGTTGTTGTTTTGTTTTGTTTCCTGGGACAGGGTTTCTCTGTGTAGCTTTGGTGCCTGTCCTGGAACTAGCTCTTGCAGGCCAGGCTGACCTCGAACTCACAGAGATCCACCTGCCTCTGCCTCCCAAATAGTAGGATTCCTCATCCCAACATTGCCTATGCTTCTTTCTCTGTGTCCTCAGTGTCTCCCTTTCTTCTCAGCATCCTCCATGCCCAGGAATCCTGCCTAGCTTTTTATTAAACCAGAGTGATTTATCTTCACAACAGCATCATTCTGGTGTGCTGAAGGGTATGTGGGGCCTCGACACTGAACTTCTATGCACTTGTGTGTGTGCATGTACATGTTCATGGTGTATATGCCTGTCCATGTTTGGGAGCCACAGGTCAATCGTGGGTATTTCTGTTTTTGAGACAAGGGTCTGTCTCTACATAGCCCTGTCCTGAACTGTGTAGATCAGACTGGCCTCAAACTCAGAGATCTGCCTGCTCTGCTTCCTGAGCATGTGCTACCACACCCAGCTTTACCTTATTTTTGAGACAGGATCTCACACTGAAACTGACTCTCACTGATTCAGCGAGGCAGACTGACTGTACTGTCTCTGTCAACACTGACTACAGGCATATGCTGCCACAGCTATCTTTTCATTGGTGCCAGAGATCCAAGCTCAGGTCCCAATGCTTGTACGGCATGTGTCTCACCAATGTGCTTATGGAACCTCTCTGGAAGTCCTTGGAATCTGTGCACCTAAAAAGGGCATGGGATGACAATGTCTCTAATAAGCCCAATGGCCTGGCCCTGTTGTCACTTATTGTAGTACTCACAGGCTCCTCCCTCTTCAGATACTCACCTCTTGGCCTTTCCACAATCCAGCTTCCACACAGCAGCCAGCATAGTCTTCCAGAAACCCAGATCTGTTCACATTACTAACCAGCATGGTACACTGAGGATTCCTGGCTCTTCTTAGCCAAAGACAAAACCATTTCCAGTGTCTAACACACTGCCTGGTACAGAACAGACCCCAGCCAAGGATGTCCTGTCAGATACCACTCAGATGCTACCACAAGGGCAGGGCCTTCAGGCATACTCAGCAAATCTGGAGCCAAGGCTACCATCCTCTAACATTTGGCCTAGGGAAATTTCTTACCTTCTTGGTTAACCTCAGTCTCAACCGTTGAGACTGTTGTGATGGCGGAGCAGTTAACCCTGGCTGCTCTTGCAGAGAACCAGGGTTTGAGTCCCAGCACCCACATGACAACTCTCAACTATCTGTAAACCTGGTTCCAGGGGAGCTGACACACTCTAATGGCCTCCTGCACCTGTCAGCCACCCCATATTTTCTTTTATAGTTTATGAGCTCACCAGGCACATAAGCAGTGCACAAACATACATGTAGGCAAACACCTAGCTTCCAGTGACACGGTGTACCTCAAGGGCTCAGTATAGTGCATATTGCGGTGCGGTTGTACTGTAACTACAAATACCACCCCTTAAAAGTCAAGAGTAGAACTCAGGATGTGGGACAAAAACCATTAAAACGCCAAGAATCAAAGTAACTTCATTGCCACAAATAAATGGCAAAATGAAACCATAAAGATATGGAGAGATGCCGGGCAGTTGTGGTGCACACCTTTAATTCCAACACCCAGAAGGCAGAGGCAGGCGGATCTCTGAGTTTGAGGTCAGCCTGGTCTACAAGAGCTAGTTCCAGGGCAGGCTCCAAAGCTACAGAGAAACCCTGTCTCGAAGAACCAAAAGATATGGAGAGATGGCTCTGAAGATTAGGGACAGTAAGGCTGGACAGACACATGACTCACCCTTTAGAGATGAGGGTGTGCACCACTAAGGAAGAGCTGGTAGCAGCTGCCTGGCTGGCATCACCAAGCACCCTTCCTCCCCCACTGTCCTCCTTTATGCCCCCAGATTCATTCTACCTCACTCTGGTCACACACCCTCTCCATGAGGGTGCCTGCCTGGCTTAGGCTGTCACTTCAGGTGTGACTGCTGGATTGATAGCAAACACAAGGCACTGTCTGTGTTAAAAAGGCTTACTAGAGCTTCAGACAACCCAACAAACAAGGTCTCCAGTGACCCTAGAAATCCTCTTATACAACTATATAACCCTCTACACCTTGTGAAGTTATTAATGTGAAGACAAAAAGAGCTGGAGAAATGGCTCTTTTCAGAGGATTCCAGCTTGATTTCCAGTACCCATTTTCCAGAAACTCACAATATCTAGAACTTCAGTTCCAGAGGCTCTGACACCCTCTCCTGAACCTTTAAAGGCCACACATGTGTTGTGGAATAGAATTTTTTAAAAACAAAACAAAACAATGGGAGGTGACTTATGTCACAAACTGAGAAAAAAAGAAGAGTAAAGATGTGTTAAAATTATTTATCATTGGTTAATGTTGCAGAATAATTGTTTAACTATGAAAGATGTGTTGCTGTTTTACCTTTCCTGTCCAAGGCACCTGACTGATCTAAAAAAAAGCTGAATGGCCAATAGCTAGGCAGAGCAGGGATAGGCGGCAGGCTGGTGGGCAGAGAGAAAAAGAGAGAAGGAGGGAGAAAGAGAAGGTGACGCCTGGGGCCAGCCAAGCAGACAGACATGAAGGAAGCAGGAAAGTAGGGCATATAGAATGAAAGAAAGGTAAAAAGTTCCAAGGCAAAATAGACGAACAGGTTAAATTAAGTTGTAAGAGCTCTACTGAGACAAGCAAAATCTAAGACCAACCATTCATAACTTAGTAAGTCTCTGTATTGATTTTTGGAGCTGGTTGGTGGTCCAAGAAAGTCTGCTACACATAAACATGAATAAAATAAAAATTATCTTTATGAAAAAAAAAACCACTATTATAAAAATTCATAAAAAGAATCATTTGAATTTTTAAAAGGTTACATTTGCAAGGTGAAAGACTGAAAGACTATTAAAACAATGTAAATTCTGTCAGCTAAACAGAACCTAAATCAAGTAAACGTGGCTATACAATTTAGCATCCAGCCACACAATCCATTTCTTCTCTACTTCTATGAGCCAGAGCTTTTCTATGTATTCAGACTGAACTCTTGATCTTTCTGCCTTGGCTTCCAGAGTCCTGGGATTACAGCCCACCATGCCTACCTCCATAGGACACTTCTGAAGTGAAAGGATACTATTAATTACTTTACAACAAAAAACATAAAATTCAAAGACCCAGGCACAGAGGTGAACAGACACTCATGTCCCAGTTACTCAGGGGCTGAGGAAGAAGTCCTTTGAGCACACTGAGGCCAACCTTGGCAATACAAGAACCCCTTTAGTCTGCTCCCCACCAAAGAGAGACACATCTATGTTATGTGTCCCATGGATAAAATAATGTGAGAATCTGTACTCCATGGTGTGCCTTGCTTCCTCAAAGTCAAGAAAGCTGATGGGCACAAGCACTCTGGGACATGCGGTTAGCACTATTAAAAAAGTAAGCCATCGGTAACACATCACGTCGCAGTCCATCCTTCCCACCTTCTCCTACTCCCCTGTGGATACTGAACCTAGGGGCTTGTGTATGCTAGGTACACGCTCTAGCACCAAGCTTTACTCCTGACCCTCTTTTTTATGTCAGGACATCTTGAACTAATTCTGTAACCCAGGCTGACCTTAAATTTAAAACCTGTCTCAACCTCCCAGTATCTGAGATGACAGGCCTGTGCCACCCGACTGGCCTAGAGGTGGGTTTCCCCTTCCATCAGGCACTTAACCAAACAGTGACCACAGCAGCGGAGATGAAATTTCAATGGGTATTAAGTCTCTGGTGAAGTCCCTCTCTTCAACAATTCTAACTTCTGCAGATGTGCAGCTGGCAGAACTGTGGTTTGAGCTACTGCGTGTGTCTCCCCGGGATTGCTAATTTTCTGGAGGATTCTGGGCCAGGTGCTGTTCCCATTCAACTTCAACCAACTTGTACAGCTCCATGGTGGCCTGGGCATCTTCCACTGAGGAATGTCCACTTTTTCCAGCCTAAAAGGGAAAAGAATATGAAGAAAATAAGAACTACTTTTTCTTTTCCCAGTCAACTCTCTCTCCTCCCCCGCCCCCTCAAGACAAGAAACTTGCTCTGTAGACCAGGATGGCCTCAAACTCACAGAGATCAGTCTGCCTCTGCCTCCCAAGTGCTGGGATTAAAGGTGTGCCACCACTGCCTAGCTAATCCACTCATTCCTGTAGCAATGTATATGTATCATATTCTGCAGAGGCAAGACATTTCAGGTCACAGATAGGCCTTCTGAGTCTTGTTTCTTAGATACTCTCCATGTGACATGTACCCACAACTCTGTATTCTGTGGCCACTATCCTTGACTGCCAAGCATGTAGCTTGAGCAGTCTTCTGTTCTCACTGTACCATCTGGTAGTCTATGAGGTACACAGAAATTATTATTTCTCCTCATTGACAGAGACTACTGGGACCTGAACTGTGTGTGCTGTGCGCACTTGGAGAGAAGTTACCTGGATGTCCCGATGCAGCAGTTTCTTGGTGAGATGCTTCAATGACAAAGTGACATTCTCTGGGCAGTCAGCCTTCCGGTTGAGGAGTGGTATTTGGGAAGTGTCTCGGGTGAGGGACTTGGGATGAAAGTACTGTAGGGCTTTGTAGTCATTGTGGATGGCATGTCCGATCACTATCTTCCCCTTGAGTATCTTCAAGATCTGGAATGAGCACGCAGAAGGTAATGAGAGGGATGCTCAAGGTGGAGCTCCTTACACACGGCAAGCCCAATACGGCCATCATCAGCATCCCACCCCACCCTTTTGAAATGCCCTCTTCTACAAGTGTTCCTCTTTCAGAAACCTTCCTCCTTTCCCTACAGAACTGTTATGTGGAATCCCATTTGGAAATACATCACCATAGCCTCCTCATGTTTATTAATTTCTACCCCAACCGTGGTCTTCAGTATTCTCCCCCGCCTCCAAAATCTGAGGCCTTGTATATGCCAGGCAAATGCTCTAACACTGGCCTCTACCCCAGTTGCTTCCTTCAGTCTTGGATAGCACAAGATGCTGCTCATGGGGCTGAAGAGATGACTCAGCAGTTAAGAGTGTACTGGTCCAAAGAACCAGTGTTTGGCTCCTGGTACCCTTCCTTGTAGGGTGACTCACCAATGCCTAAGTTCCCAGTTTCAGAGGATTTGACACCCTCTTCTGGTCTCTGCAGGCACTGTACTCACATATAAAAATGCATATACACATAATTAAAAATAAATATTTACCAAAAAATTAGTTACTAGGCAAGGTTGTATAAACCTACAATCCCAACACACAGAAAGCTGAGGCAGGTGAACTGTAAGGCACAGCAGAGACTGAGCCACACGAGACCCTGTCTTAACGAACAGTGCTGGAGCTAGGGGCTTGGCTCACAGTGCTTGCCCAGCATGTACAAAACCTGGGTTGGAACCCAGCACTACAATAATTGGGCATGTTGGCAAAGGCCTGTAATCCCCATACTTGGAAGGTGAAGGTAGGAAGAACCAAAGTTAAAGGTCGTCCTTGGCTCCATAGCAATTCTGAGGTTAGACTGGGATGACACCCTGCCTCATGTGTGGACGATGATGACAGTGAGACGACTCAGAGGTAAAGGGTCTTGTCATCAAGCTTGATGATCTGAGTTTGATCCCTGAGACCCACATGGGAGGTAAGAACCAACTCCTCCTCACACACGCCATGACACACCACTATCTTCACAGAATAAATGAGAAAAAAAAAACCATTTAAAAGTAAAGTTGAAGATGGGGTTTTCTGCATACTCGTCTTGAAACCAACTAATGTCTCAGCATTTAAAACCTTCAAGACCGCCAGGTGGTGGTGGCAGTGTATGCCTTTAATCCCAGCACTTGGGAGGCAGACAGACCTCAAATTGCAAAGCAGATCAAGGGTGCCCTCTGGTGGCCTCCCAACACCAGCGGGCTCTTCAATTTCCTCCCTTCATTTCTCTCACCCTGCCCTCTACTCCAGTTTATTATTAGTTGTGCTCTCTAGCTTGGGCCTAGAACGAGTAGGTTTGCTAAGGGAGGGATGAGAACCCCTTACAATCATGTATCTTTTATGCCTTTTACTACAGGCTACCTGGATACCCCCCAACCAATACAGCTTTAAAACAAATTGTTTTTATTTTATATGTATGTATACCACATGTATGCTTGATGCCCAAAGAGACCAGAAGAACATCCCTGGAACTGGAGTTACAGTTGAAGAATCGTCACATAGGTACTTGGAATGGAACCCACCAGGTCCTCTTTAAGAACAGCAAGGGTTCTTTACTGCTGAGCCATCTCTTCACACCATTTTTATTTTGTTTTTGTAAAAGTTCTGTCTCCTGCTCCAACACTCAGCACTTGCCCTAAGCGACTTTCACACCTGCTGTTCAGCCCACTTCTATCCCAGGCTGGCTGTTAATTCTTGAGGGCAACTCCACCACACACTAAGTGGATCTCAACTAGTAAAATTATCTTCGCCACCTAGTTGTGGCTACCTGTCTTTAGCATTCCTACGGGGTTAATCTTGTCAATCTGACAAGATCTAGAATCACAGAGACAAACTTCTGGCCATAACTGTGAGGGAGGGAGGTTCTAGACTAGTTAACTGAGGTAGAAGATCCACCCTAAATGGTAGTAACCAGCTACCTCACACTCCATGCCATGATGTAGTAAGCCTTCACACTTACCCCAAATAAACCCTTTCTTCCTCAAACTGTTTTGTCACAGCGATAAGTACCTAAGACAGAAGAACGGTAACGAGGTGGTGGCTTTGCTGTGATAAACCTGACTGTGGTGGCCACCATTTGCCCATAGGTTTAAGTGCTTAGTCCCTAGTTAGTGGGCTATATAGAAAGGATTAGGAGGTGTGGGCTATATAGAAAAGATTAGGGTGGGTGGGCTCTGAGGTTTCAAAAGCCCCATGCCAAACCCAGTGTCTGTCTGTCTCTGCCTGCTGTCTGTGGATCGAGATGTAAAGCTCTCAGCTACTGCTCCAGTCCCATGCCTGTCTGCTTCCGGCCATGATGGTCATAGACGCACCCTCTAAAACTGTAAGCAAGTTCCCAGTTAAAGGCTTTCTTTTATGAGCTGCCTTGGTCACAGTCTCTTCAAAGCAACAGAACAGTAACTAATCACTCACCATGTGATTCTCAGGCCTTTGAGCTGGTTTTAGAGGAGGAAAGTGGGAGTACAGAACTGAGGGTTACAGAGCCCTAGATGCTACACAGAGCTCAATGGACTGTTCTGGTGGGCTCCTAGAAGAGAATGCAAAAGAAATGCCAGCTATGGAAGCCTGGATAAAAAGAATCCAGAGAACTTAAGTGAGGCTGAATTAAAAGGTAATGGTCTAATTTGTATGGCAGAGGATTTTCCTACAAAGGTTGTGTGAAGGCGACTGCTCACTGTTCTTATCCAGGTCTACCATGAAAGACAGCAAATAAGACATTAAAATATGAAAAAAAAATACAGTTTAGTGGGGGAAAGGACCATACATTTAAAGTTACAGGCTACAAAATATGATACTTGCATCGGGATAAGGGGAAAGTTAAGAGCAAGGCCCCATTCACAGAAAGCTCCAAACTGTGAAAACACACATTCATTTGAATGGAAAAAGCTGCTAGAAAACAGCACTTAGGAAAGAGTTCTGTGATGTGGAATGTCCTTCTGTATATGTGTTGTTTTTATTGGCCGATGAATAAAAGCTCTTTCGGCCAGTGGCTTACCAGAGTAAAGCCAAGCAGGGTATCTGAACAGAGATGTAGAGAAAGAGTAGGCGGAGTCAGGGAGAGGCCATGCAGCTGATGAAGGAGAAAGACACTGCTGGAACCTTACTGGTAGGCCACAGTCTCACAGTGATACACATATTAATAGAAACAGGTTAATTTAAGATATAAGAGCTAAGCCGGGCGGTGGTGGCGCACGCCTTTAATCCCAGCACTCGGGAGGCAGAGGCAGGCGGATCTCTGTGAGTTCGAGACCAGCCTGGTCTACAAGAGCTAGTTCCAGGACAGGCTCCAAAACCACAGAGAAACCCTGTCTCGAAAAACCAAAAAAAAAAAAAAGATATAAGAGCTAGCTAGAAATACGCCTCAACTATTGGCTAAACAGTGTTGTAATTAGCAGTTTCTGTGTGATTACTCAAGTCTGGGTGGCAGGAAACAAACAAGTAATCCACTTAGTTTTCAACTAAGCTCTCATCAAAGCATACAGCTTTAAGGGAACTAGACTACATTTTGAGCTGGAAGCAGAAACTTTGCAATATGTACTGAAAACAGCCTGGTATTGGCATAAGAACAGAAAGGAAGACCAATGGAACTGAATAGAAGACCCGGATATTAATCCACACATCTTCAAATACCCGATGTTTGACAAGGAAGCAAAAAATATCAAATGGAAAAAAGAAAGCATATTTAACAAGTGGTGCTGGCATAACTGAATATCAGTATGTAAAAAATGAAAATAGACCCATATCTATCACCATGCACAAAACTCAAGTCCAAATGGATCAAAGACCTCAACATAAAGCCAGCCACACTGAACCTTATAAAAGAGAAAGTGGAAAGTACACTTGAATTCATTGGCACAGGGAACCACTTCCTAAATAGAACCCCAGCAGCACAGACACTGAGAGAAACAATTAATAAATGGGACCTCCTGAAACTGAAAAGCTTCTGTAAAGTAAAGGACACGGTAAACAAGACAAAACGACAGCCTACAGAATGGGAAAAGATCTTCACTAACCCCACATCAGACAGAGGTCTGATCTCCAAAATATACAAAGAACTCAAGAAATTGGACACCAAAACATCACATAATCCAATAAAAAAAATGGAGTACAGACCTAAACAGAGAACTCTCAACAGAGGAATCTAAAATGGCTGAAATTAAGGAAATGTTCACCATCCTTAGTCATCAGAGAAATACAAATCAAAACAACTCTGAGATTCCATCTTACACCTGTAATGGCCAAAATCAAAAACACTGATGACAGCTTATGTCATTTTATGTGGAGAAAAGCTGGTACAACACCTTTGGATGTCAGCGTGGTGATTTCTCAGAAAATTAGGAAACAACCTTCCTCAAGACCCAGTCATACCACTTTTGGGTATATATCCAAAGGATGCTCAGTAGTGCCACAAGGACATGTGCTCAACTATGTTCATAGCAGCTTTGTTTGTCATAGCCAGAACCTGGAAACAACCTAAATGCCCCTCAATTGAAGAATGAATTAGAAAAATGTGACACATTTACACAATGGAGTTCTACACAGCAGAAAAAAATAACGGCAGCTTGAATTTTGCAGGAAAGTGGATAGAGCTAGAAAACATTATTTTGAGTGAGGTAACCCAGACACAGAAAGACAATTATCACATGTACTCACTCATAGGTGGTTTTTAAACATAAAGAAAGCCAGCCTGCAAACCACAATCCCAGAGAACTTAGACAACAATGCGGACACTAAGAGAGACTTACACAGATCTAATCTACATGGGAAGTAGAAAGTAGAAAAAGACAAGATCTCCTGAGTAAATTGGGAGTATGGGGACCTTGGGGGAGGGTTGAAGGGAGGGGACAGGCAGGGAGGGGAGCAGAGAAAAATGTAGAGTTCAATAAATATCAATAAAAAATTAAATAATAATAAAAAATTCCTGAAGGCCATTTAGGGGCCAGGTTATATGTGTTAGGATTGGTGTTCCTTCAAGGAGGCCCCTACACAAAGCTGTGAAGGTGAAACCTAAGTTATAATGGACGATCTGGGATTTTGGAAATGCCAAAACCATGTTATAGTCAAGCAAAGCTACCCCAACAAAGAAGGGCTCTGTGTGCTACAGGCAGCAGCCCTGTAAGGGCTGGGCTACCTATGGCCCTGGTGTCTGCCCTGCTGTGTTTCCCTCTCCCTCTGGTTTAGTCTTTCCTTGCAATGCCCTGAGCAGCTGGTTCCAGGGGCTTTATATAAGCAAGCCAGGAGGGAGCAAGGCAGTAAGCAATTCCAAGGTCTCTTCTTCACTTCTTGTCTTGAATTCCTGCTCTGACTTCCCTTCTCGCATTATAACTGTAAGCTTAAATAAACCCTTTGCTCTCCAAGTTTCAGTCAAGCTTCCCCCATGACCTTGGTTTTTCGAGACAGTGTTTCTCTGTGTAGTCCTGGAACTCACTTTGCAGACCAGGCTGCCTCTGCTTCCCAAGTGCTGGGATTAAAGGTATGCACCACCACTGACCAGTTAGTCAAGGTGTTTTATCACAGCAATAGAAACTTTAAGACAGAAATTGATACCAGGTTGTTGGATATTGGCGGCATGTGCCTTTACTCTCAGCACTCAGGAGGAAGAGGCAGGAGGCAGGAGGATCTCTGAGTTCATGCTCAGCCTGATCTACATAGTGATTTCCAGGACAGCCAGAGCTATATAGTGAGATAGTGAGATCCTACCTTGTGATGGGGGGGAAGGCGGGGGGGGGGGGGGGGGGGAGAAGCACCACTCGGATAAATTCTTCTTGCTTCCCCAGGGTCAGCACACAGAAGATGTGCTCCAGAGTGGGCCAAGGCTGCATCTCATATTGGCAGCCAAACTTGCTACCATGTAAGAGTAATCCACCCATGTGGTACTGCTGTTGAAGTCATGATGGGACCATGGAGAGGCATTGGTGAAGGTGCCCAGTTGAAGTGGAGCCCCCAGCATTTTGGAGATGCCAGTACCATGGGATGGCCATGGAGAGTGGCAATCGTGGGATGGAGAAAGCCCGAGCCTAGGAGAAAAGCTGTGTGTGCTGTGACAAGCCTTCTGGAGCCTGGAAGATCCTGAGTCTCAGAATGTTGACACTTCAGCTTCATACCATTGGATTTCAGCTCTGTTTTCCTTTGGTTGTAACTGTGTCATGTCTCTTTCCTCTTGAAATAATAAAGTATTTAAACTTGGTTTTGATTTTTACAGGAATCCATAGTTATGAGACCTCAAAGAAACTTTGGAATTCTAAAGAGACTTTAGGTATTTTAAAGAGATTAAACTTTTAAAGTTGGAATTTTTAAAGACTACGGGGCTTCTAAAGTTTAGAATATGTTTTATATTGTGATGTTGCTATTAATATGACATCTTGGGGACAACAATAAAGAAAAAGTTATGATTTAACAATGATATGTTTTTATGTCAAAGTTGACAAGGGGTCAGTTGTGCTAACCAGTTTTATGTCATCTTGAGACATATATCCAGGAAGAGGGACTCTTATTTGAGAAAATGTCTCCACTGGATTGGTCTGTGGTGCATTTTCTTTACGTTGACTGATGTGGTGGTGCCACCCCCCAGGCAGGTGCCTGGATGTTGTAAGAAAGCAGGCTAGCAGGCCAGGGGGAGTAAGCAGTGTTCCTCCACAGACTCTGCTTCAGTTTCTGCCTTGACTTCCAGCTCTGAAGTCCCTCATGTTAGATTATAACTTTAAGATGAAGTAAACAGTTTCCTCTTCGAGCTGCTTTTGTTTTATCTCAAAGAAACCCTCAGACAGGTAGGTTCTGGAAAATCAGAATCCAGTCCTTGTGCAGCAAGCACTTTACACAATAAGCCCCCTCTCCAGCTCTAAACTCTAGCTGGCCTGGAACACACAGAGACTACCTATCTCTGCCTCCTGAGTACTGGGAATAAAGTGTGCTCTGCCACACTCAGCCTTTGCTTTTGATGTGGCAGGGCTCACAGTTAAGAGTCTGCCTATGTTTCAGAGACGCTCTGGCCTTATATTTTTGGACAGTGTTTGGACTGTAACAGACTATGGAGACTTTTGAAGTTGAACTAAATCCATTTTGTATTATGAGACAGCTATGAGCTTATGAGGACCACAGATAGAAGGTTATGGCTAAAAAGCGTTATGTTTGGGCATCAAATTGACAAGAGGTGGACTCATGATAGAACTGTCTATTTGAAAGGACCTAGAATTATCGAGAAGACAAATTTATGAGTGTGTCTGTGAGCTTTTATGTTGGGTGAACTGAGGTGGGAAGACCCATAGTAAAGCAAAACAAAGCAAAAATAACCTATTCATTCCATTAGCCAGAGTCCTGGACTGAAAAAGGAAATCAGAGAACCAGCATTCATTTCTCTCTGCTCCCTGATTCCTCAGCAGCCATATCCTGCTCTTGCTGCCACGGTTTCTGCACCATGATGGAAGTATCCTCAAACTGGCAAACCAATCTGTTAAATTCCCTTGGTCAGGCATTTTGTCGCAGCAAACAGAAAAACAATTACTTACTGCATAGACAGCCTTCTCATGTGACATCATTCTCCCTCCCTTCACAGCCCTTTGAGACCTCCCCAGAACAGCACATACTCAAAAGTCCTCTCCTGACCCTCTCTGCCCCATGCTCCTCACCTGACTCCGAGCAATCTTAAAGGGTGTAGCTTTAGCCATGTGGCACTTTCGGATGCCGCTCCATCTGGTCCGGTAGTCCACGATGTGGCAGGGGGGGAGGACGTAGTCATCATAAAGCACATCCCCATTGTAGTTCACAATGCTGCACCGGGCCAAGGAACTAACACGCCCCTTGGGTCCTGTGCCCACCATTTCACAGTCGACTGCCACCATCTTCCCTGGCAAGTTTTGGGAGACTTTAAGGCACTTATCCTCTGAACGCGCGTCGGTGGATCTTTGCACAGCATTTTTCTTTGAGGACGACTTCTTCTTCTTGGAGCCTTTATTCTCCAGAGGAGCTTGGGTGGAGTTCTGTGCAGCACTCTTCTGTGCAGGCTTCTTGGAGCCCTTACTCTCTGAAGGAGTTTGGGTGGAATTCTCTGTGGCACCTTTCTTCAAGTGCTTCTTCTTGGAGCCCTTCTTCTGAGCATGAGCTGGACGGCTCTTAATCTTTGGAAGGGCACTCTGAAACTCCCCTAGCAAATCGATTTTAGCCACAACAGAATCAGTGTTCTTTGAAGGAGCAGGGGTCAGCCAAGACAACGATGCTTTCTTGTCTGTGGACTGCTCTGATTCCCTTTTGGAGGCAGCTTCCTCCTTCTTTTTTGGGCATGGAAGGATCTTCAAAATGCCATCTACTTTTGAAGACACTTCCCTTTTCTTTAGAGGTTCTGAGTGCAATTTAGACACCTTGCTAGGAAGTTGGTTATTTCTCTTCAGTAATCCTCTCTGTTCCAAGAACCGTCGCTTCTTAACAAAACGTTGGTGCTTGGCATTTCCTCCAAACGCCTTTTTTGGAGGTTCCCCAAAGTCCAAATTCAGGAGTATGGTAGACATGAGGGCAGCGGATGGTAGGAGAGCAGTTGGGAAGAACGGCTTACTGATGAAAGAAGATTGGGAGGCTCATTCTCTGTGGAATGCCATGGTCCAACAAGTGGAGGTCTGCAATTAGCCCTGGGGACAAAAGTAATCCTGATATCTGCATCATCAGCCTGGGGGCGGGGTAAAGTAAGACCAATTCTAGAAGGCTACAAGCCCAAAGCCTGGGTACTAAGTCTTAGAATTCACCTTTGGGTGGATCTTAAAAAGGATGTTTCCACTCTCCAGATTCAGTGTCTTTTTAAAAAAATGATACAGAGGCTGGAGAGATGTCTTAATTAAGAGCACTTGTTGCTCTTGCAGAGGCCCAGGGTTCAGTTCCCAGCACGCATGTGGCAGCTCACATGTGTAACTCGTTTCAGGGGGATCGGACGCCTTCTGATCTCTGCAGGCCTCCGGCACTTACATTGTGCACACATATATACATGCAGGCAAAGTACTCGCACAAATACGTGAAAAGGCTGAAGCTGGGGTAAAAAGGAGTTGTGGAGACCACGGAGTTCTAACTCTGCCAAGTCTATTAAGTCAAAACAAAAGTGTTGTGAGAACAGCAGAGAAGTAGCACTCCTAAGTACTAAACGTTTGCTAGCGGTGGGAGGACACAGCACAGAAGTCCGTAGGATTACCCAGGCATCCTCAGCGTGGCGCCAGAAATGAAGAGCAAATCCAGGCACCGCTCTCCCTCCGCTCCACGTGGGGGGGGGGGGGGAAGGGCAGTCTTCTCAAACACCTCACCTGTGGCGTCGTTGTCCCCCTCCCCGCCTAGCAAGGACCTGGGACTCCAGACAGCACCAGAGGATCTGAGTGGAGGAAACTCAACAAGTCCGGCACACTCTGACGGTCCACGAGGCGCAGGGCATACCCCGAACACCCCATCCACCTACCTCCAGGTTGGGTCGCACTAAGATCGCAAGCGTCCGGAGCCGGATGCGGACGCAGGTGCGCGCCGACGTACACCGGGACGGCAGGAGCGAGGGTGGCAGCGCGAAGGCGGCCGGCGCACACGCGCCCGCAGCGCCCCCGCCTCAGGCAGCGAGGCCAGAGACTCGGAGTGCGTGAGTAGCGGCAGCGGCGGCGGCGGCGGCGGTGGCGTGGGTGGGGGCGGGGGCGGGATGCGCTCCCCGGCCCCTCGGGCGCCGTGGAGGTACAACTCGAAGGTGGTGGGCCGCCGGAAGCGGAGCAGCGCGCGCCGGAACCGTGGCCCCACTTCCGGGAGGGAAGGCGGGACCTGCAGCTGGCCGCCCGGCGTTGAGCGATTACTGGGCGCGCATCTGTGACGTCACCAAGACCCCTTGCGTCTTCGACGGTCACGGTTTACTCGGCGGAAGCTGTGACATTTGACAAGTGCGCCCGGTCATTTCATCCTGGACGGGACTGTCGGGCGAGCTCGGAGAGCTTGCTTCGCGTTGGGCCAACAGAGTTGAGCCCAGCTCGGGTCTCACACCCTCGTGGTAGCGACCTTGGATCGCTGCACCTCCTCCCCCCCGCTTGCACCGCCAGTCTGGCCGCAAGATGCCGGGCGTCTCAGTCCGTGGTCTCTCGCAGGAGAAGAGAAGGCAACTAGCTGTGAACCTCACCCGCGTCCTAGCGCTCTACCGTTCCATCCTGGACGCCTACATCATCGTGAGGCCACTGGGCTGAGGGCGGGGTGCTTCTGGGGATGGGATGATTAGAGGCTACTGTAGAGGAATTCTGGAGACAGCTTTTATCTCTCCACTAAAAGGCAGTAATAAGGAGCATATTGGTAAGGAGGAAGTGCTTGGCCAGCTGTGGTGCAGACCTGTAATCCCAGCACCTCAGACTAGCCTGGACTGGACTATATTACTTTAAAAAATGAAAAAGCAGGCCAGGCATGGGTAATGGTGCCTGCCTGTAAGCGGTGGTGGCGCACGCCTTTAATCCCAGCACTCGGGAGGCAGAGGCAGGCGGATCTCTGTGAGTTCGAGACCAGCCTGGTCTACAAGAGCTAGTTCCAGGACAGGCTCCAAAAAACCACAGAGAAACCCTGTCTCGAAAAACCAAAAAAAAAAAAAAAAAAAAAAAATCCTACCTCAGAAGACAGGCAGATGAATTGCCCTGATTTGCAGCCAGCTCAGACTAGTGCTGAGATTCCTCTCATTTCATCCCCCACCCCACACACAGAGAAAATCACCTACTTGGTGGTGGGGAGCTGTAACTTTAGAGCAGTGGTTCTCAACTGTGGTGATACTTTGTGCTCTAACAAAACTTGCCTGAAGATCAGAGGGTGGAGGCCAGGTAGTGGTGACACACACCTTTGAACCCAACACCTTGGCTCTCATGCTTTTGATACCTCCTAGTACTTGGGAGGTACAGGCCTTTAATCCCAGAGCTAGGGAGGTGGAGACAGGATCTCAGCTACCTTCAGTTGGCCTTTGATCTGAGAATTGGATAGAAGTAAAAGGTCTCTCTAGTCGCTGGCTCCTTTACTTCTCTGGCCTTTCAGCATTTACCCTGATATCTGACTCTGGGTTTTTATTATTCAGAACAATTAAAATTTGTGCTGCGTTCACCCTTTAATGCTGTGACTCATCAGTACAGTTCCTCATGCTGTGGTCCCAGCCATAAAATTATTTCCTTATTACTTCATAACAAATTTTGCTCTTGTTCGGAATGGTAATGTGAATATATGATATGCAGGACATCTGATACGTGACCCCAAGGGGGTCGCAACCCACAGGTTCAGTACTGCTGCTCTGTGGTAAATGCTTGTCTAAAGACATGGCACTTTGGTTAAAAGCACATACTGTATTGGGCGGTGGTGGCGCACGCCTTTAATCCCAGCACTCAAGAGGCAGAGGCAGGTGGATCTCTGTGAGTTCGAGACCAGCCTGGTGTACACAATGAGTTCCAGGACTACCAGGACTACACAGAGAAACCCTGTCTTGAAAAACCAAAGGGAAAAAAAATAAGTCATGTAGTGCTTTTTCCAAGCCAGTTCTGCAGCCAGCACTCACATAACGGTGGTCACAGCCATCTTTAATTTCATGTGCAGGAATTGATGTGCTGCTGGCAGCAGCATTCACATGCACAGACCCGTCCACAGAGGACACACATACAAGTTAATAGTGAAAGTACTTTGTAAAAATTTTGTCTAGCTTGTATGAAACCCTGGGTTAAATCCCTAAGTACTGCCAACATTTTTTTTTTAACTGGAGGGTGTTGTGGTTGCACCACTGTAATTGCAGCGCTTGGATTGCAGAGATGGGCAGTCTCTTAAGTCCCAAGCTAGTGAAAGCTACATAGTGAGACATGTCTCAAAAACAACAGCAAAAAAGATCCTCCAAACTAAAAAAGTAAATAAATGCTTGTTTAAGTGTTTTCAGAATAGTGCAAATATGAGTGTTTACTTTTGCTTGTGTTTTCTCTATATGACAACTCTGGAGTGTCCCTCACACATTTTTTTTCTCTGTGGAGTTTAAAGTAGTTGTCCTTTAAGCTCTCTGTTAAATGGTTTTTTTTTTTTTTTATCAAATGTAGTGTTTATGTTAGCTGATCATTATTTGCAGTGCTGGGGATGGAACCCAAGATCTCCTGCGTGCTCATCAAGTTTTTTGTTGTTTGTTTACTGTAGCCCAGGCTGTCCTGGAACTTGCTCTGTAGACCAGGCTGGCCTTGAACTCATAGAGACACACCTGCCTCTGCCTCCTGAGTGCTGGGATTAAAGGCATGTGCCACCACGGCCTGGCTCATCAAGCATTCTTAACATTGAGTTAAACCTCTGTTACTGAATTTTATTTTGCAAAGTAAACTCTACATGTACAAGACTCTTGTCTCTCTGAGTTTAGAATAGATTTTGGTGAATAAATAAAACCTCCAAATTTATTTTTCTAGATGAACTTTGGCTATCCTAGAACACTATATAGACCAGGCTAACCTTGAAAAAGAAATTGGAGAAGGGGGACATTAATAAAATGAAGTGTGTTCACAAAGCATGTCTGTGCCACCTTGGCACTGGTGGAGGCTGGGAGCAGACTTGAGCTGATACACATGAATAGGAGAGACCTGCTGGTGGCATTTGGTGGCCTTGGGCACTAGTGCCAGAAGAAAGCAGGAGATGAGGTAGAAAGTTAAGATGGGGCTGAGAAAATGACTGTTTGGCTCCTTCTGCAGGAATTTTTCACTGACAGCCTGTGGGGCACACTCCCCAGCTCATGGCAAGAAGCACTGGATGGACTAAAGCCACCACAGCTGGCCACCCTGCTGCTGGGGATGCCCAGGGAAGGGGAGGAGATTAGGTATGTACAAACAGAGGAGCCCTTTGCTGGGGAATGAGCCCAAAGCCATGTACTGAACCTTATGTAGACAGTCTTGTTGCATCTTTCTGGGCTTATACACTCAGCATGTGATTGTGGGCTATTCACTGGCAGCCTGGGCTGGACTGTCTCAGGTACAGGTCCGTGTGGCCACTGACCCTGCTGGCCCTGAAGTCCACAGCCTGTGCCCTCGCCTTTACCCGGACACCTGGCTTTCAGACCCCCTCAGAGTTCCTGGAGAACCCCAGCCAAAGCTCCCGACTAGCAGCGCCTTTTCGGAAACATGTCAAGCCCAAAAAGCAGCATGAGATCCGGAGGCTGGGAGAGGTGAGGAGACTGGGAGAGGTGAGACAGTCTGAGAGCCGTGTGTAGCCCATACTGTAGGAACCAGCAAGTGCAGAAGCCCCTTCCTTAGCAGACATACTAGCATCCTGTCTTGGTGCTGGGATACTTTCCCGCGTGTTTCTGGAGTTGACCGGCAGCTGTGTGGGGTGACTACTTCTATTCACTGTGGTCAGTTTTCAGTTTCACAGCCTACAGGGTTCTTGCTCCTGCATCACTGACTTAAGGGGCAAACGGACTAGGCTAGACACCATCACCTCAGCTCTGGTTTGACATCTGATATCTCTGTGGCAACCTCAGTGCTTCTCTGTCACCTTGGCTTCTCTACCATCCTTATGACTTCAGGAATCAGGAGCCAATGCCAAGAAGAGACTTTTGTCTCCTTTCAGTTGGTGAAGAAGCTGAGTGATCTCACTGGCTGCACCCAGGTTGTGGATGTGGGCTCAGGCCAGGTAAGCCAGACTCTCAACATATTGTCTATTTGAGTTATGAGAATAGGCCACTGGGGAAGGCAGATTAGCAGGCCAAATGCCCACGGAAGCAGGTGCTGAGAAGTGGGGGTGGGAGAGTGAGACTTTAGTGGAGCCCAGGACCCAGTTGTCTACACCACTGGTAGGGTGACAGTCTTGAGGGCACTGAACAGCTGTCTTCCCTCATGACTCCAGGGCCATCTCTCCCGTTTCATGTCTCTTGGGCTGGGGCTGATGGTGAAGAGCCTTGAAGGAAATCAGAGGCTGGTAGAGAGAGCCCAGCGCCTTGACCAGGAGCTCCTGCAGGCTCTAGACAAAATGGAGAAGAGGCACCCAAATGTAAGCTGCCCTTCTTGCAGCCTGCACTACAGGAGCAGTGTGCTTGGCTGGAACTGCATATTAAAATTCATTTTCTACTTCCAAGTTTCTCGGTTAGAAATGGTTCCTATTTATTTCTGCTACGTTTTGCCCCTTCCCCAAAGCATCCCCACATCTCAAAGGCATTTTTAGTTTGTATAAGTGATTTCCACACCAGTATGTTCTCACAATAAACTATGATGTGGCCGGATGGGTACTATTATTTGCTGTACTAGGGATGGAGCCCATAGCCACTGAGCTATATCCCTAACCCACACCCAGGTATTAGACTCATTATCAACAAGAAATGAAAGGGCTTGGGCTGGAGAGATGGCTCAGTGGTTAAGAGCACTGCCTGCTCTTCTTAAAGGTCCTGAGTTCAACCACATGTTGACTCACAACCATCTGTAATGAAATCTGGTGCCCTCTTCTGGCCTACAGGCATACATTCATGCAGAACACTGTATATACAATAAATAAATAAATAAATCTTTTTAAAAAAGAAATGAAATGATAGAGCTAGGATACAGCTCAGTGGTAGGACAGTTGCCTAAGCATTCATTAGGCCCTGGGTTCCATCCTCAGGTACATGCCTGTAATCCCAGCACTAGGGAAACATGGACAGGATCCATGCAGATTTGCTGGCTTGTTCAGCATACTGAGCTTTAGGTCAGAAAAGGCTGCAAAGACCTTGTGTCTCCCCCCTGCCCCACCTGAAAGAAAAATGATAGAAATGAAAAGGTGAACCAGGCACACACCTGTAATCCCAGCACTCAGGGGCAGAGGCAGGCAGATCTCGAGGCCAGCCTGGTCCACAAGAGCTAGTTCCACGACAGGCTCCAAAAGCTTCAGAGAAACCCTGTCTCGAAAAACAAACAAACAAAAGAAACAAAAAGGTGTACTGTCCGAAATGATGGTCTCATCTCCTGGTTCAGAGTCGGGTTCTCTAATGCCTAGCTTCTGACTCATAACTCCGAGGATGCCACCCAGCTTTGCATCTGCCTTTGTTTTTGCTCTCCCCGCAGGTGGTACAAAGAGGCTCCCGCCACTCCCCCCACCACGTGGTTCAGTGGGTCAGCCCCACAGCCCTGTGTGACGAGCTTCTGCTGCCTTTGGAGACACCATGCCAGGATAGTACCCGCCTACTACTCACGGGCCTCCATGCTTGTGGGGATCTGAGTGTTTCCTTGCTGAGACACTTCTGCTGCTGTTCTGAAGTGGTAGCCTTGGCCTCAGTGGGCTGCTGCTACATGAAACTCAGTGAGCCTGGCAGCTACCCACTGAGTCAGTGGGTGGCTGGGCTGCCCGGCCATGAACTACCTTACAGGCTCCGGGAGGGGGCCTGCCACGCTCTTGAGGACTATGCAAAGAGGCTACAGAAAGCAGGCCCTGGCCTGCAAACACACTGCTTCCGTGCAGCGCTGGAGACAGTCATCCGACGTGCCTGCCCTGAACTTCGGAGGCCTGGCGTGCAAGGAATCCCCAGGGTCCACGAACTCAAGATTGAAGAGTGAGGTCTGGGGAGGCTCCCCACATATTCCCACCTTTAACACAGCCAGAGAAAATGTGTGAGCCCAAAGAAATGGCATAAACTTCGCTAACCAGGGACAACTGCTCCAAATTTCTCTGAAAGAATTTGTCCTCCTAGGACTAGGAATGTAACTCAGTTGGTAGAATACTTTATTCTCTATGTCCATGAGCCTAGGTTCAGTTTCCAGCACCGTATAAATTGAAGGTGATGAACACACATCTGAAACCTTAGCTTGGGGAGATGGCAGATCGGGAGTTCAAGATTATCCCAAGTTCTTTTGTTTGTTTTTTGAGCCAGGGTTTCACTGTGTAACTAACTGGCTTGTAGACAACCCCCCCTCCCCCCATTAACTCAGAGATCCACCTGCCTCTACCTCTGGAGTGCTGGAATTAAAGGTGGGCACCACCACTGCCCATTGCCCAAGTTCCTTTTTTTTTTTTTTTTTAACTCTGGAAATCATCAAATCTAGGGCTTTGTATATGCTAGATTAGCAAGTACGTCTACCACTAAGATAACTATCAGTCCAATAGTCTCTAATTACTAAAAGTACGGCTAAGTTGTATAAAACTAAATGAAGATAAATTTTGAGACTGTTTGCTATTGAACAGATAGCTCACAGCCTAGGAACATTAGAATGGGTAGTGGCACTGTGTGACAGCTTTCTGGCTCTGGTGCCAAGGAGGACTGCTTCCATGTAGTCTAGGTTACTTTGTCTCAAAAACACAGGCATAGTGGCTCATACCTTTAATTCAAGCACTTGGGAAGCAGAGGCAGGCGGACCTCTTAAATTCAAGGCCAGCCTGGTCTTCAGAGTGAGTTCCCAGACAGTCAAGACTATAGAATAACCATGTCTGGAAAAAACAAAAATAAAAACAAAATGTCTAAGCAAATTAAAGGAGGAATCAGCTTCTAGACAAAACGGTTAAGTGGCAGGTGGAAGTTTCTAGAACTAACTTGTCTTATGGCTGGTCTCACAGATACGTGCAACAAGGGTTACAACGAGTAGGTCTGGACCCCCAGCTGCCACTGGATCTGGCTGCCCTTTGGGCCCAGCAGGCCCAAGAGAATCGTGTGGTGGCCTTCTTCAGCTTGGCCCTCCTGCTGGCCCCACTAGTGGAGACGCTGATTCTGCTAGACCGGCTGCTCTATCTCCAGGAGCAAGGTGAGTTCTTGTCCAATTTGTTGGGCCTGGACACCACCTGATGTGGGGGGCGTTTGTTAGCAATTGTGGGTTCCTAGCAGCGCCTCCCACTAGACTGGTTTGGGTTTTAAGATTTGGGTGTTTATACATGTTTTTTTGGGTGTTTAATTCCCTGGTACTGGAGTTGCAAGCAGTTGTGAGCCACCCAATGTGGGTATTAGGAACCAAACTTGAGTATACTGGAAGAGCAGCAAGTTCTTAACCCTGAGCCCTCTCCAGCACCAGGGAGGTAGACTATAAGTCCATGGACTGTTCTCAGGCTAGTGTCTCCCCCTTTGGAATGAGATGCTGTGCTATTGGACAGGCAGAAAGGGTCTGGGGTGAACTTCTGTTTCCCTTCTAACCAAAACTTTCTTCTAGGCTTCTATGCTGAGCTGTTACCCATCTTCAGCCCTGAACTCTCTCCCAGAAATCTGGTTCTGGTGGCCACCAAGACACCCCTGGGTCAGGCCTTCTCTGTTCTTGAGACTGAAGACAACTGACAGACCAAAACCACAAAATGACAGTATGGCCAGTGCATCTTCCCATTTAGAGTGCCTGCATCCTGCCGGAATTCTGGCCCTCTGAAACTTCAGATTTATACCCTTTCTCTCCTTTCATATGTAATGTTCTGTGTCATTTTTATTTATTAAAACTTTTCAGATTTAACTCCTGCTGTGCAGTAGTGGCCACACCTTTAACCCCAGCACCTGGGAGGCAGAGGCAGGCAGACCTCTGAGTTCGAGGCCAGCCTGAATTATAGAGTGAGTTCCAGGACAGGCCCAAAAGCTACAGAGAAACCCTATCTCAAACAAACAAAAAAACTCCTGTTTCTATAAATAGGGAAAAGGACAGGGGCCTCTTCCTACAAACCTGCCCCTGGAAAGGCTGCCATCTACCTGGTCTGTCCTGACAAGAGGAAAAGCTGCACTATGTGTGGCCTCCACAAAATGCAAACACTTGAGGAAGGAAGAGAGGCGGGGCAGCAGCTACTCTCATGGCTCTTTATTAGTGCTGGAGAAGAGGGGCCTCCACTCTCAAGGTGAAGACAGAGCAGGCAGCAGCTCAGTCTCAGTACCAATAAACCTTCTTGTGTCTTCGAGTCTCCTGGATCCCCATAGCCTCCATCACATCTTCTTCTAATGTCTTTAGCCGGGGCACATACGTTCTTTCTAGAGCATCTTCCACTGATGTGTCCTTGGGGCCATCTGTTGAGTCAGAAGAAAGGATAATTTGCCGACTGTTTATTTCTTGCAGTGTGGGGATGGAAGCCATGACCTTGCAGACAGCTAGGCGAGCGCTCCACCACGCTACATCCCTAGCCCTACCAACTTTGCTTTTCCTCTCACACCTCACATCCCTGCCTTCTTCCTGCCCACCCCAGCTTACCAGTCCATGTTTCAGGGACAATGCCGTCTGCTCGAGGAAATTCAGGCTTGGGGATAATTCGCCCAGATCTTGTAGAGACTCGAACCCGCTCTCCTGCCTCAGTAAATCTCCACTGGATCTCAGTGGGTTTCCTGGTAAAGAGAAAAAAAATGAGTCTAGAGCCAGATCCTTGTGCCACCCTCCAACCCAAAATTGAAGGCAATGGTAACTTGGGTTACCACTTTTGTTTCTGTCATGGTTACTGACAATTGTATGCAAGAAACAGACCCACTGGGCAGTGGTGGTGCACTTTCGATCCCAGCACTCAGGAGGCAGAGGCAGGCAGATCTCTGAGTTCCAGGCCAGCATTGTAGCCAGGACAGCCAGGACTACACAGAGAAACCCTGTCTCGAACCCCTCCCCTCACCCAAAAAAAGAAATGGATTCCCCTGAGTTCTAGCATATCCAACAAACCATTCCCATGTGATAAATAACTCGAGTTAGAACCCCTTGACCAGAGGCCTGTGTGCTTGCCTGTCCACAGGGTCCACTAGCTTGACCTGGTGGTGAAGCAAGGGGGCTTCACTGGGGATCATGGTCCCTCGGTGATCCGTGGTTCTGCCAACATAACGGTAATGCTGTCCGGGAGAAGGCATTATCAGAAAGCAAAGTGTGTGAAGGGATTTCCCTACTACTACTTAGCATATTCAGCCCAAGCCCGCTTGTATAGCCTGCCCCTCAGCCAGTTTCCTGTCTCCCCATGCTGCTCTTAAGAAAAGAGAGACAGATGGGGAAGACTTCCCAGCTTTCATCATCCTTTCACTCACCGTGTTCAACCCCTCCAGGACAACCCAGTTCCGCTGTCGAATGACTTGGACCACTTTGCCCTGCTTCCCAGCATCTTTGCCTTCTAAGATTTCCACCTGTAAGATGATGAGAGGACAGAGGCAGGAGATTGTTGCCCACAAGCCTTCCCGTCACTCTGTCTTGATGTTCTCACCATGTCTCCACAGAATAGGTGCCAGTCTTCATCAGAGATGGGCTCTACCACCACTGGGCGCCGTCTGCTCCATGGAGGATTCTTCCTCTTGTCTGAGAGGGAGCCTGGACGGCTCATCCCATAGCGGTAGTGGGGAGGGAGGGTGGCTTTGGATGCCAAGGCCAGCAGGGCCGAAAGTCGCATAGTCAGATGTAAGAAATCTCACCAGTGAAAGACTCAAAAAGTTTCTTCATCAACTATGAGTCAAGAGAAACAATAAAAAGTTGAACTAAGGAAGGAACTTTTGTTTGTTTTTAATCTATTTCTGTTTTATGAGCATTGGTGTTTTGCATGCATGTATAGCTAGGTGATGATGTTGGGTCCCATGGAACTGGAGTTACAAACAGTTGTGAGACACCATATGTGTGCCGGGAAATAAACCCAGGTCCTCTGGAAGAGCAGTCAATGTTCTTAACCACTGGGCCATCTCTCCAGCCCCTTGTTTGTTTTTTGAGGCAGGGTCTCACTATGTAGCTCTGGCTGACCTAGAATCCACTATGTAGACCAAGCTGGCCTTGAACTCTCAAATTCATCTGCTTCCCTAGTACTACCATTCACAACACAGGAATGTTATTAAAGCATACATAGACTCTCTTGCGCAGTGGACTTCATCTCTTCTCACAAGTTGTCTTTACAAATGAGAAAACAATAGGGTTATGTATTATCTGCAGTGATAAAGCTACTATGGGGGCGGTATCAGCATTCAACCCCACCAACTGACTTTGAAGTAAAAAATTCACTTGAGGCCGCCAGACAATAGTGGCACATGTCTTTAAATCTCAGCATTTGGAAGGCAGAGGCAGGCGGATCTCTGAGTTCGAGACCAGCCTGGTCTACAGAGCAACTTCCAGGACAGCCAGGCAGGGCAACAGAAAAACTATGTTTCAAAAAAAAAAAAAAAATTCCCTGAGTCCAGGAGCCACACTATCTAGCTCCTTGCACTGCTGTCTCACGAGAACTCGGCACTTGAGATACTTAAGACAGTTATTTAGTGAATGCATGAATAGCAGGACGGGAGAAGCAGGTAATGAAAGAAAAGGACTGAGCAGTCACAAGGCAGTAAAGAGCGTAGCAAGGATAAAAACAGCTTACAGTGTGCCCATGTAACAGGCCCCAGACCTTCACACAACTGACTCCATTCAGGCCATAAAACTCACCACATAGACAGCACCTCCAATGAAAACAAAAACCCAATCTATCAAAGTCTGCGGTTCTGGGAAAGTCTCTACATGTATTATAATCTTGCTTTTTGGTTTTATAGTTCTGCTTTTGGCTGTGTGTCAACCCAGGGTGTGTTTTTTGTGCCTAAAACCTCCACTTGAGAAATGCTTGCAGATACACTGGGATCCCCAATACCCAATGCAGTCGCCAGCCAGCTAATAAGGCCATTTTATTGGCTTGAACCCATGTTCTGTCTTCTAACCTCACACAGGAAAGACTCGCTGCTGTGGGACAATGGTCCTGTGCCCTATAAAGACATGTCACTGTACTGCCAGTAGCCAGGCAGGAAGTATAGGCAGGGCAACCAGAACAGGAGAATTCTGGGAAGAAGAAAGGCTGAGTCTGCAGTCATCACCCAGATGCAGAGGAAGCAAGATGAGAATGCCTTTCTGGTAAAAGGTACCAAGCCATGTGGCTAACACAGACAAGAATTATGGGTTAATTTACGATGTAAGAGTAAGTTAATAAGCCTGAGCTAATAAGGCAACCAGTTTATAATTAATGTAGGCCTCTGTGTGTTTTTTTGGGACTGAATGGCTGTGGGACCGAGTGGAACAGAAACCTCTGTCAACAGACTGTCAACAACCCACTCCTCCCTAAGAATGGCTTTTCCTCTAAGACTTAAGGACCCCAAGACTCCTAGACTCACAACTTGGGCAGTAGACTAAATTAACAGATTACCGAATTAACTGATAAAAAGTAAGTGCTTTAAGCCAGGCATTCCAGCTCCTTGGGAGACTGTGGTAGAAGTGGGGGCGGGGCTAAAGAGAAGGCTCAGCACTTAAGAGCACTTGCTCCTTTTCAGGAGAACCTGCATTTGATTCCCAGCACCTTCATGGTGTTTCACACCACCCAGAATGCCAGTTGCAGGGGATCCAATGCCCTCATCTGGCTTCTCTAGGAATCAGGCATGCAAGGAAATGCATATACATACATGTAGGCAAAACACACATTTAAAAAAATTAATAAATCGGGCTGCAGCAATGGCTCAGAGGTTAGGAGCACTGCCTGTTCTTCTGAAGGTCCTGAGTTCAATTCCCAGCAACCACATGGTGGCTCACAACCTTCTGTAATGAGATCTGGTGCCCTCTTCTGGCCTGCAGGCATACATGAAGCAGAATACAGCATATATAATAAATAAATCTTAAAAAAAAGAAAAAAATTAATAAATCCAATTTGGAAAAAATGGTAAAAGGAGCCAGATGTGACTGTGCACATCTGTAATGCTAACACTTGGCAAGTAAGAACAAAAAGACTAAGTGAGACTTGGGGCTGGGCTACATAGAAAAACCCTGACTTTTAATTGTTTTTTAAAAGATTTATTTTATATATATGAGTGCTCTGTCTGCACTTTGTGTCTGAAAGGTGCCACTTTAGATGGTCATAAGCCAGTGCTCTTAACTGCTGAGCCATCTCTCCAGCTCTCAACTTTTAAATATTTTTAATGGTAGAGGGAGGGACAAGGCTCTGCAGTTAAGAGCATGTGTTGTTCTTACAGAGGACCATCCATAACTCCAATTCCATACCCTATTTTGACCTTAGTGGGTACCAAGAACATACATGGTGTACATACATACATGCCCACAAACACTTCTACATATTAAAAAAAAATCTAAAAAACTAAAAATAAAGGATCAATGATGAGTGCAATAGGACAAACCCTTTATCCCAGCACTTGGGTGGCAGATCTCAGCGAGTTCAAGGCGAGCCTAGTCTACACAGCAGTTCTGGGCCAGTCAAGACTACACAGAGAGACCGTCTCAACAATAACAAACAAAACCAAACTGCTAAGTGAAGCTGACTCGCGCCTTGAAGTCAGAAGCATCATAATTACTGTGAGTTCAAGGTCAGCCTGTCCCACACAGCAGCTACAGAACAGTCTGAGCTACAAGGTGGGACCTGCTCGAATCAAAACAACCAAGTCAAAAGGCCCAATGCAGAAGGCTAGCTTAGCCTGCAGTGAGCTTTCTAAATAGCAGCTGCTAGCCTGGTACCATATTAAGTAGCATCTCACAGAAGCCTAAGGGCAGCGATGAAATTGCTCCTAATCTCGTTTTTTTGTTTGTTTTTGTGGTGGGGGAGGGGAGTGAGTACTGGTGATCAAACTCGGGGATTCATATGTAATGGGCAAGTAATTCTGTATAAGTGGGGTACTCTTCCCTTTTTTATACACCTCAGGATAGGAGACGCGGGGGTTGAGGAGCCCAGTGTTATCCATGATGCTAGATGAATACAAGGGCTTAAATATTTCTATTCAGATCCAACATACTGATTCTAAGCACCTGGCCAAGTCGAAAACTGAGGATTTCAACGTATTTGGTCTTCTCGGTATCCAGGATGTGCTGCAATTCTCATTAAGATCCTGTTCACTAGTACGAAAAACGGGCCTGAGGCAGAGAGGAGCGGAGAGAGAGAAGGGGGGCGAGAGGGGGGGGGAGGGAGGGGAGGGAAGAGAGGAGAGGACGGGGGGGGGGGAGAGGAGAGGGGGGGGGAGAGGACGAGAGAAAAAGAGAGGGAGGGGGGAGGGAGAGGGAGTGAGGAGAGAGAGAGAGAGAGAGAGAGAGAGAGAGAGAGAGAGAGGGAGAGAGAGAGAGGTTTCGAGGCTCTGGGATGAGAAAGGAGAACCGGGCACGCCCCACTCCATTTTTCCCTTCGGTTCCCTACACAATAGGATACTGGTGCCACTTCCGCCGTAGGCTTTCTTCTCAATGCAAGCCCTCAGGTCAAGCCCTTCAAGCACTTCCCCTGTCAGACTCACCCAGATCCGACGACAACTCCAACCTCCTAGTAAAGAGAAACCCAAGGAGGGGACTGCCCCTCAGTTTAAGACTAGGAAAAGGAAGTCCCTTCCTTCGCGACGACCACCGGTGACCAGCAGCCTCACTTTTCCCAACCTTTCTTCGCACGTGGGTACTATACACGGGCAGTCTGGGAGGTGTAGTCTAATTGCAGAGAGGACGCTTAAAAACGAAGCGAGCCTCTCAGCTTGCTGGGATCTGTAGTCCGTCGCTACAAAATGACCTGAAACAGAAAATCTGGACAAAAGTAGGAAATCCCGGGTGTGAAAGGCATGTCGGGAATTGAAGGCGAAAGATGGGCGGATTCGCTGGGTACTTTCCTGTAAGTGCTTTGCGTGGAGGCCACTGGGAGTTGTAGTTCACAGAGAACAAGGCTCCATTTTCTAGGTGGTTATGACTTCCTATTCAAAGCAAAGGGATCCATTTCTAGGTGAGATTACTGCCATTGTGTCCTGGCTCTTCTCTACTTGAAGAGCATATTATAAAACCGCCCCACCTTTGTAGAGGAATGGGTATTCTTGGGTCCTTTCAATATTAAGTGAGCTAAACAATCTATATAGAGATACTGGAAAGTATCCATCTGTCCACACCCTACCTGCCCTCTCTTCCACCATCAGTGGACTAGCAGGCTTCTCTAGCAAAACCTAGCAGTGAGACCTTGAGCAACTCGCTCTTTGGCCACTCACCTGCCTGTCCTGATCACAGCAAGTCTAGTGACCAAGAGAGCTTTGGGTCGGCTATCCCCTGTAACCAGTCTGGTTTGTAACACCAGGAACTTGAATTAGTCAGTGTTTAGGAGAGCCTGAAGAAATGTCCTTTGTTCTTAGGATGTGTATAACTAGAAAGGATGTGTATAACTGAGGCCATCAGCACCAGATTTGTCATTGACCTCAAACTCCACCTCTGAGAAAGCAGTTTGGTCATTTTAGGCCTGAGATGAAGGTAGGCCTGCCTAGCCCAACCAATAAACCAGCCTCTCAGCAAGTTGGACTTGGCGTCCATCCTCTCAACTGTTTTCTGAGTCTCATGTAGCCCAGGCTCACCTCAAACTTGCTAGTTTCTGCCCTCACTTCCTAGGTGCTGGGGTTCATAATCAAGCCTGGTTTATGTGATGCTCCAGACTGACCCGACCCGTAGTGTTCACTGCACCTTTCTTCTCAACATTTTATTTATGTTTATGTACCTTCCTAATTTTTTCCTGAGACAGGATTTCTCTGTATAGCCCCTTCCCCTTCGTTTTTTTTTTTTCACATGCTTTGGTTCTTTGTCTGTGTGAGGGTGTCGGGTCCCCCCGGAACTGGAGTTGCGAGCTGCCACGTGGGTGCTGGGAATCAAACCTGCATCCTTTGAAGAAGCAGTCAGTGCTGAACCATCTCTTCAACTGCCCTAGCCCTGGATATTTTGGAACTCATTCTGTAGACCAGGCTGGCCTCGAACTCTGAAAGACCCGGCACTCCCCACCACGGCTTAAGTGTAGGAAATGTGCGCTGGTGCCTGTGGCAGCCAGAAGGTGAAGGTATTGGGTGTCCTTAAACTGGAGTTACAAGGTAGTTGTGAGCTGCCTGATGTGAGTGCTGGGAGCCCAACCAGCTTCCTTTGCAACTGCCAAGCCATCTGCAGACCTTCAAGTGAACGCTGAAATTAAAAGTCATGAATTCAGTCTGGCAGTGGTGGCACACACCTTTACCAGGAAGGCTCCAAAGCTACACAGAGAAACCCTGTCTCAAATATCCAAGGGAAAAATAAGTCATTAATTCCTGAGTTTGGAGCCAGCTAGCTGGTCAAGTGAGTTCCAGGGCAGGCAGGGCTGTTACACAGAGAAACTATCAACCTTTTTTGGGAAAAAAGAAAGTGGTAACTCTTGCCTAGAAGCCTTGTTTTATTATTGAGACAGGGTCTCATGATGTAGCCCTGGCTGTTCCAGAACTCACTATGTAGACCAGGCTGGCCTTGTGCTGAGATCCCAGGTGTACACCACCACACCTAGCTAATCCAAGCTGACGCATGGTTAGCAACCTAACTAGCGTCAAATGGTTAACTTATCCTCCCTAAACTGTGGTCCAAGACTTTTCTAGAACCAAACCACTCACTTTTTCCCAAACTTTAGAGACTAAGACAAGAGGATCATGAGTTTGAGACCAACAGGGAGACCCTCTTTCAAAAACAAAAACCAGAGATGGCTAAGCAGACCTGAAATCTCAGCACTTAGAGATCACTTTAAGGTCATCCTCATCCATAGTTAAAATGTATCCTGGGTTACATGAGACCCTGACTCAGACAAGTCACACACTTTCCATAACCATTTGTTGATCCTCTTCACTCTTTCTCTTTTTTGAGTCCCCAAGCGTCTCTATATAACCAACATCATGAATACCCGCACAAAAGCTTGCTGCACACCTGCAGATGATCTTGCTTTTTGAGACAGGGTTTCTCTGTGTGGCTTTGGAGCCTGTCCTGGTACTCAGTTCTGTAGACCAGGCTGGCCTTGAACTGGGAGATCCACCTGTCTCTGCCTCCCAAATGCTGGGATTAAAGGCGTGCACCACCACCGCCTGGCTTGACTTTAAAATAATTTTTAAATTTATTGGGCTGGTCAGATAGCTCAGTGGGTAAAGGCACCTACCTGCACGATGACCTGGGTCTCACATGGTAGAGACTGATTCCTGGAAATTGTCCTTAACCTTCACAAAGGCACACAAAGTAAAATGTAATAAAAATTTAGATTTATGTGTATGAATATTTTGCCTCCATGTATTGTATGTGCCACATGTGTGCCTGGTACAGGGGAAGTCAGAAAAGGGTACTGGATCCCTTGGAGCTGAAGTTATGGATGGTTCTGGGTCAGTACAGGTGCTGGTAACTGAACCTAGGTCCTCTGGAAGAACAACTACTCTTCAACTGTTAAACCAACTCTACAATTACCATATAGTATGGGTGCTTTGTTACTTTTTCTACTTTCTTACAAATTGTCTTTTAAAGTTTTACTTAGTGAGATTAGAGATTTAACTTAGCAAGGCCCTGGTTGCATTAGTGCAGGCAGGCGCCTGTGCCACCACACCCCTGTGGAGGTTAGAGGACATCTTCCAGATTGTTGAGGCAGGTGACAGATGACCAGATGAGTCTCTTTTCTGTGCCTAAGAGCACACCCAGCTTTTCTGGTCTCTGGAAGAAAAGTCAGGTCATCTGGCTTGTGTAGAAAGCATAAACTTCTGACCCCCTCCTCCATCTTCAGTGTGCTGGGGATTATAGCCATGTATCCATCACACCTGCTTTTTGCTGTGGCTGGGGGCCAAATCCAGGGCTTCTGATTTGTGAATACTAGGCAATTTACCAACTGAGGTATGTGTGTCTTTATGTATATATCCTTAGCCCCTTAAAACCTATTTCTTATGCCATTTTTTTAATGTGTACATGGGGGGGGGGGCGTTTTGAACATGGGCTTTTTGTACAGACCAGGCTGGCACTGAACTCATGATCCTCCTGCTTTCCCACTGGTGAGAATACAGATTTGTGCTATCACACCTGGCTCAAAAATGTTAGGCTAGTTGCTGAAGAAAAGGCTCAACAAGCAGTTGCTGTTCTTGCAGAGGACTTGGGTTTGGTTGCCACAACTCCAGTACCAGAGGACTCAATGGCTTCTTCTGACCTCCTCGGGTACCAGGCTTCCATGTGATGCACATACATAAATGTGGGCAAAACACCCATAAAATATACCTAAAAAAATTATATAGATGTTTTTGACCCTCCCAGACACTTGCAAGGGTAGAACGGATGGTGTCGGTTTGTGTAGTCTCGTGTGGGAATGGACAGCAAGGAAGAGGTCGACTTGTCTCCCTTCCCCTCTCCATTTAACTCAGACACTCAAAAACAATTAGTCAGGATCCAGGATAGTAATCAACGGCTTTATTTTCCTAGAATTCAAATTGTCTATGGTTTTCAGAGCTACACTTCCAAAGCTACAGTCAGCAATTTTTCTTCAGAGCCCAAGGGAGGGACAGGAACAAAAGAAGGAAGGGGGTGTAAGAACCCCATAAGAGGCTGGGAGAGAGCACTTTCCCCGGTATTCAGTGGGCTACAAGCTGGATGTGTGCCAACACCAGAGGACCAGCTCCAAGGAGTTATCAACTCGAACAGAAAGGGAGCCTCCCAGTGCACCCCAGAAACGGGTCAGTAGTGGGGGGCACACAAAGGGTTGGGATTAACAGGTTGGTTTTTTTTTTTCCTTTTTGTAATTTTCTTTTATTAAAAACATTTCCTAAAAAATGTATCTTTTCCTTTCTGTCTGGGTGATGTATCTGACTAGAGGTTGGCCTGGAGCTCAGGGGGGGAAGAAGGCAGCAGGGTCGTCCCCCCCCCCCCGTTACCCATCTCTGACCTGAGATCTAGAGAGACACTACAAATGATGAGTCAATCTTTCAGATTATCAGCTCTCCAGGTCCTGGACCCTAACCATGTGGAAACCCCAAAGTCTCGATGTTAAACTATAATTCCTTGAACCCTAGGGTTCAGGGGGAAAAAAAAAGTTCTCAAAATCATCAAAGGATGTATGGATGGGAGCCTCTTTCCCAGTGTCCCCTTTTCTTGAATTTGGGCAGATGGGAAAATAGGTGTAAGAGCACGAGCTCAGGAGATGCCACCCAAGAACCCATACTCAAGTTAATATTCCATTACCCCTCTCCTGCCCCGCCCAGCCCAAAGGTCTAGAGTACCTGCAAGGAGGGCAAAGGTGTCAAGAGGGGAAACAGCGGCCCAGACCCCAACGCAAGTCCTAGGAAACAAATCTAAGGAGATAACGGCCTCATCTCATTCCAGAGCACATGGCCCTGACTCAGGTCACAGGGTACAGGGAACTGGAGGTGAAGATCAAGCCAGTCTCCAGGAGATGGGCTTAAAAAAGGAGAAACTGAGTGAAGGAGGAGAGTGGGTTGGGTGGGAAAAGGGTTCCCAGTTTGTAGGCCATGGCCAGTTTCCCCAGTAGCACCCAGACAGCAGCAGGAACGGGGCAGGGGCTCCTCTTGAAACATTGGTGGCTACAGGCTGCAGGGGAGGGTTGGAGGGAGAAGGGTTAATGGTATGGCCTTGGCCTAGCCTTGCCCCAGCCAGTGCAGGTCTTCTGGAAGAGCCCCCCCCCAGCCTCCAGACAGCCTGACTACTGCACACCCTCTTCTATGTCCTCCTCTCCTGGTGTGGCTGCACCCTCCCAGCCCACCGCCAAGCTAGCTCACCCACC